TTGAATTGTTTAGGATCATAAATTTCAAAAAAAGTTAGTTTTTTTAGACTCTGTGTCAAATCAAACAAATGATATTATTGCCGGAACTCATAGGTTGTTCTACTAAGGTGGTTGGAATTGGCCCCATGCTGGGCCCCCAGCAAAACTGCTACTCTCTAAAATTTATCATGCTCAAATTGTACGCAACAAACAAATTTTTAAGACTTTCTCGATGCTAAACGACTGAAAAATCACTGTAATGGTAAATTATTTAATAAGTGAATGAATAGAAAGAGAGCATAAGCAATCATATCTTGGCAAAATTTCATATGTTTAACAACAAAAAAGCCTCACAAAGGTCCTTTTTTGTGTGCATATAATATAACCTTTCTTTCTTCTCTTCTAACCAGGGGTGGATTTATGTACACGGTTCGGGATGGTACACCACCCGCAAGTTTCGACGAAAATTTTATATATATATGTAAATATGTATAAGAAATATGATATATATTTAAAGTGTCACCCATAAAACAAAAGTGACAAAGGTGCCAGGGGCAAAGGCTTGCCTTTTCGTTTAGCAGGGCAAGAGTTTGAATTCAGGCAGGAGCAAATAATGTTTTGGCTTACCTTCAGTTGCAATTTAAGGATATTAACAATACTACACAACACATCCTTCTATATTTTATATTAAATATCTTATTTTTCTATTTGTTTGTTTAAGTATAAATAAATAAGATAAAATAATAATAAAAGTACTTTTTATAGAATATTCTCTTATAATTAATACTCCTAATAGAAAGTTCAAATTAATTTTTAAGATCTTTCCCAATTTCCAAAAGGTAAAACAAAGTCCCAATTCCTCCCAAGTCCCTTTACGCCACTTTCCTCTTTCCCTTTCTCCGATTCTCGCTGCTTCAGTCTTTTTACGCCAGTACTTCTCTGTTAAACGGTTAGTGTTAGCATTTATTTTGCTTTACCTTTGCGGATGCTTCACACCTTTATTGCTCACTAGTCATTGCACTACACCCACCATTGTAAAGTTTCCTCACCTCCTCATGTTTATTTCTTAACCCAATGTGACTATTTTTTTTCCATCAAATATATGTTCTTGCTATGTATTTATTTTGTATTTAGTTGGATTTTAGTGTTCTTGCTAAACTTTATAGTCACTATTTTAATTTTTTTGTTATGTATTTCTTTGGTTGTATTTGAAAATCAAATACCTCTTAATTGGTTTCACCGTAGAATTTAGTATCGTGGCTAAAAGAGAAAGAACATCCCAAATAACTTTGATCAAGAAAAATTCAAAATTAACTCTATTTTAACAACGATAAAAATATTAGGGAAGGTTGAGTTATTTAAAATAACTAAACTTATTGATGGTATGACCTAGTAGAAATTATTCTATATTTCTCACTGGAATGAACTTCTATTTTATAGGAATTGATTGAGATGGATAAATTTGTCAAGGTTGGACCATTCTCAACCAAGTCCTAATTGTCAATCCTTGATCCAAGCGAATGCCAATCATTCCTATCTTATAAATGAACTCGATTTGGGGTCACTTAAAGGCGATCCAAGAGAAAGAATACCTATTGCTAACTATAACCCTAGAATACAAGATGAAGTAAGGAAATATTACATTCAACAAGGTCCTTGTCAACCTTCCAAGCATCAATTTTCCAAAACTCAAATAGGAGGAAGAATGAGTCAATTTGTTCCAAGTTGGTTCAATGGTCAATTTTCTAAATGATTGGAGTATAGTGTGAAGAAAGATGCGGCATTTTGCTTATGTTGTTATTTGTTCAAAAATAAATTTATTCATGGAAGTGCGGGTGAATTTTATATAAATCTTGTGGAGACTTATTCGTATGTTTATTTACTTGTGAAGTTAACTCTGATTTTACCTGTTGCTACCGCAACTGTGGAGAGAGCATTCTCATCCATAAAGCAGATTGTTTAGTTTGTTACATAGAGCGTGATGTATTTACAAATATAAGTAATGATGTCATTATTGATCGTTTTCAAAATATACAAACTCGTCGAGGACAATTGTAAATTGATTGTGTATGATATTAAAAATATTGTTGGAAGTTTTATGATTTGCATCAATTAGTTATAGTTATTATATTTTCTTTCGTTTGATCTATATGTCTATATAAATAAAAAGGATGAATAACCCGAACCGACGCTCGAGTTGATCACATCGATTAGGTCGGCACCCGTAACCCCTAAATCCTGGATCCGCCTATGCTTCTAACTCTTTTTTCATAATCTTCTTACTACTATTATTATTTCCAGTTTCTTCGAGTCAAAGTTAGTGTATGGTCAAAATCTGTCATCGAATATTTAAGATAAAATAACATCAAAAGAAGAGTCCTCGAGTCGTCATCAGTCGAGGTCGAACACGAAACATCAAGATTCATAGTCGAGATGTCAACAATGGTCGAGTTCGGCACCGTTGACGAAACTTTAATGGCTAATTTTTAAAATGGGATACTAAAGAGAATATTCTAGTAGATATTCTCTACACTTGTACTATTAGGTTTTATTAGGAAAATGTCTCATATAAATAGAAAAAAAACAATGGTGTAGAGGGCATTCATTTTTTGATAAGAACATACTTTGATAAAAGATTCTCTCTCTTTTTTTTCCTAAGATATGCAAACACTACATTTTTGTCAAAAATCTTATTTTCTTTTAGAAGAACTTATCCTTGTTTTTCATCCTCAAACAAAGAACATGATTTCTGGTTATTCTCTTTAGACATTACGTGAGTGGTGTACAAAAAAAATCGATAAATCGCACTAAGTCGATAATTCGAGTCAAATCGGAAAAAAAAAATTCAATGTGGTTTGGTATTGGAAAATAAAACCCGACCATAATTGATTTGGTTTAGTTTTAACTATAAAAGGTCAAACTGAAACCAAACCAACATGATAATAGTACATTTATATAATTTTTAATTTTTTTTATACATATAAATATTTATTGTAATGTAATTTATAAATATTTCTTAAACTTTTTCATAATTTTCTCTTTTAACGTATTATTTCAAGTTTAGACTTAACATTCTTGAATGGTAAATAAAGTTTATAGACCATAAATGTAGTAACTCAAACAAAGTTCAAATCAATATTAATGCTAACAAAAGAAATTCAATATTAAGAATAACGATAGTGTTGGATAATTCTTTTAGTTTTACATTGGTTTATAATGAAAATGCATAACTTAGTTTATCTTTTTCTTTAGTGCTTAGTTATGTAATTAATATTAGTACTTATTAGCTATACTTATTTTAGCATGACCTATATAATATTTTTAGATTGTTAATTTTCACTATGGCTTATTAATTTGCAATATTTGTTTTATGTAATTTTACTATTTTATCTTTGTTATTCAATATTTTAGTATAATGCTATGGCTTATCTCATATTATTGTATTAGTTTCTTGGAAAACATATTATATAGTTGTATTTTACTAGGACTTAAGAAATATTTATAGCATAAGTTACATATTTTATGCTATGAAGACTTTACCGGGAATCCGAACCAATCCGACTTATGTACACCCCGACTTTGGACTCTGGTACCGATTCGACTAACCACTATTTCAGTATTTTGGAAGACCTTAAGCCCATTTGTACATAAAATATTTCTTTTAAAAAAAATTGTATTTGTCCATGAAAATTTGAAACTCTTTTGAAAATGAGTTTTTCTAAATGTTAAAAAACAATCTCCACTTATATAACTGCGACATTTTTTGACAATTGAGGTCGATATCTTAATTAAAATGATAAATATTAAAATACTACGATAATATGAAACATTCTAAATCTAAATTGACAATTGAGGTTCCACTATTTATATTTCTTTCTACCTTCCTTTATGCCGAAGCAATTGGGAAGAGAAATGTGTTATTATCATTGCTTAAGCTATTGATTAATTCGTTAGAGGTAAAAGACAAGATTGTATTTATTGTTAACAATAAAGCGGTCAAAGAAATGATTGAGAGAGCACAAACCAAGGAGAAAAAGGAAAATTGTTAATGGATTTGATCAATTGCACTCCCCACCAACTTTAGGTTAATTATTGCACCGAAGCTTCGCCCTTAATTGAAAAAGAAGACGACAAGAGTAAATAGTAATGAACATGAGTTCGAGTCAACCAAGAAGGGGAATAAAAAAAAGAAAATATAAAGAGAAAAAAAGGAAAAAGAAGACCGAGTCTACACAATATAGATAGAGAAAAATATTTGAGAGAAGCAACCGGTAAACATTATAATAGGAACTGTTTGTCGCTTAATGAAACTGTATGGACTATGGAGCCAATATCATAGGTTTTTCTAATAAGGTGGTTGAAATTGGCCCCACCTATTTGGATTGATAGTAAAAAAAAAGAAAATGAAAGTGTTCAAAGTTAGAAGTTGAAAAAAGTAATTTTCGATTTTGACATGAATTTTAATTTGAAAAAAGAATTAAAATCTTAATACATAGCCTCTTACCATTTGTCCTCAAAATTGAATTGTATAGATTTCCTTCTCAACTCAAAAATTTTCCTTCGAACACTGATCGTCTTTTGTTTTCGGCTAAATTGACACTTAAACTTCCGTTTACTGCCCATTTAATTAAATTTTTAATTTTCATGAAAATATGGTGACTCTACGAAATGATATGATGTCATGATCTATATCTAAATTCTTGTGTTTTTACCTAAGTAGAAGATAACTCTACCCAAATCCAATCAAGCCATTCTTCGATTTAGAAGATTTTAAGACTGAAGAGTAATACCTTAATTAACGACAATGAAATGAAGTCTGCTAAACTTCAAGAACATGTTCAGTAGCCTTAGAAATAAGCAGTCCAGGTTTTTTTGTTACATAAAACGGGAAATCACTATGAAAAACAAAAAAAAGCTAAAGAACCAAACCGAAAAAGTTGAACACAACAGTGAAAACATGAAGACTTGATTGATAACCATCTTTTAGTACTTTCTACATATGGGATTGAAGCTTAGATCAATTACTTCCGAGCAGAGTTGCGGAAATTGGTATTAGAAGCGCCTCTCTTATGATAATTTCCCCTTCCTGGTTTTTTTGTATATTTCTTGTTTCCAGGATTTACTGTTTTAGCAGCTGAGGTTCCAAATACATTCCAAAGATCCCATGCCGTTGAAGCCACACTTGTTACTGTATTAAATATAGCAAGCATCTTTTCAAATTTCTCTTTTCTCTCCTCCGATGAATTATTACTGTTTGGATTTGTTTGCTCCTTCAATAACGTCTCGTACATGTAAAGCATGGAACAAGCCTCGGAAAAAGCAGGGAGAGGAAATTGAGATGAGATTGTCTTTTGGAAGGGCAAATATTGAGATGGTAAACCGGCGAGAAGTTGCAATACCAAGTCTGGATCTGGTATAGGACTGTCAATCGCTGCTAAAGAATCGGCTGTGGACTTCAATTGTTTGACATAGACCTCTATAGTTTCATCATCTCCCTTTCTTATGCCATGAAATTGCATCTTGAGTTGAGCTCGCCTGACTTGATCTTGACCTGAAATCGTTTCATCTTTTTCCTGCAATGGAAAACTATCCCCTTTCTCTAATGGAAAACTCATCTTTGGTTCTAAACGAGTGGTCTCGCTAGTTCTGCCTGGTGGTATACTTCGCTTTTGGTCTACTTACCCTTATTGAAAGACCTAAAGATTCTATTTGGTAAAGTGGACATGTGTTGATCTGTGATTGGATAGTTAGAAATAATAATTTCCCCCCCTTTAATTTATCTTATGTAACGGTGTTTGAGTGCAAAGAAATATTTTTTTCGCATGTCAAAAATATTTTTAAGATGAGTAATTTTAAAAATGACATGATATATTTTGCTATAAAATGTGTTATTAAGAAAAATAACACATTATAGTTATTTCTTGTTTTGTTGGAGGCCAAATTTCTGATTCACGAAGGAGGTGCTTTTTATTTGTAATGATTTTTGGAGTTAATGGTAATTTGACGATAGGTTACCAAAATAATAAATAAAAAAGTTCAAAACTAAAAATTTCTGCATATGTAAATTGTTATTTTTCTTTACATAGTAAATAGATGAAGTTACTACAATAACTTAGCAAAAACAGATTGGCAGTGTACGAGTATAAAGTATAAAAGGACATGCAGAAAATGGGGATTGAACAATGACATTTAATACTATTATGCATTCTTTTTTTTAATAAATTAAAATAGTACGATGAGAGTTACTGGCTGGCCTGCACTGACGACTAATTTGGTTGGTTGATGAAAAGGTCGACTGGCATACTTAGGTTAAAGAGTGTCGAGAAGCACAGAGAATATCTACTTTTGCCGTGCCCAAAATTTTCTTTGCTTGTGATGTTGTCTTTGCTCTTTGTTCTAAACTTTGACACTATCGCTATTTTGGCGAGATTTGATTTGATTCCCTGAAATGTTGTTTTTCTCTTTTTAACAAGGCTAGTCCGTTGATGATCGGTGAAATAAATGAGAGCTGGGCGTTGCTTGTTTAACTCAAACGATTAACCATCCTCAAAGAGAAAATTATCACATTTATCGATAGATTTAGTAAATATAGTGACAACCAAATAGCACACCAAAAGGCATTAGTATAAAAATTACTATTTGATTAAATGATACTTTTATATCTCATTTAAAAGAGTGATAATGGTTAAGTGATCTCTCAGAAAATTGCATAACTCATCTGTTAGATCAAGAGTGGAACGAAAACAAAATGATTAATGTAATTTGATTTCGCAAAAACAGTTGGGATTTTAAGCTTTTGTAGCTTAAAGAGGGTGAATGAGAAATGGAGGTAAAATGAAATATTTAAGTTTTTCTTGGGAAAGGGACATTGTTCCATATCGGAGGAAGAAAAGGTTTTTGATGGGTATATATATAATTGCTCTTTTTCTAGCTCTTAAAGAGTTAAAAAAAAAAGGCAAGCCTCGCGCCGTCGTCGCTCGCTCGGTTTCGGATTGGACAAAGTTTCTTTCAATTATTCAATTAATTAATTAAATAATTAATGAAAAATTCAATCCGGAATAACCCATGACCCGCGATCCGATTAGGTCAGGCCCGTTTTCTTTCCCGGATTATTTTAAATTATTCTTCTTCTTCTTCTTCTTCACAATATTTTCCAGTGTGTTTTACGACCATTGAGTGGTTCGCAGTTCATCAGAGTTTTTGGTACCAATACACTGGTGAGTTAAACCAATACACTGGTGAGTTAAATCGTTCTATCCTGTGAGAATATATTCCAGCACCTCAGGTACTTAAGAGGAATAATTTTCTTAAGGACACACTGTGTATTCAGTGGGCTCGATTTATTCTTATACTGTTTTTATTTTTTCAGAATCTATTTCGTTAAACAAGTATTACTGTTTATTACTACAGAATTTATAACAAAAACTACACTAATCTTGAATCAAATTTATATGCAACTAAAATGACATTTAAACTGGATCACCAGAGAAGTTTGATTTTCTTAGCATTAACTCACATTGGCGTTCTGCTCAAATTTCAATAGCATTGAAACTTCACCTAAAATCGTGTAACAAGTCAAGCACAATGCTTCTAACAGTTTCCAAGACCAATTAATTGCGTAGATATTAGCAAGGGTCAAAGTTTCACTCAACCTTGGATAACTCTCATATAATTACCCGAAGAATGCAGCTTCATTGCTCTAGACATAATCTAAAGTATGCATATGATTTAAGAACCATTCTACGCCTAATTTAAACGATATTGAGACTGACAGGAAAACCAAAAAGTAGAAAGAGATCGAAGGTAAGTTTTGGTACAACACATCATATACTAGCATATATCATCTCAATTCTCAAACGACATTTAAATTAAAAAATATGAGTAGCATGCAGTTGAAGCTTTGATTACACAAACCGAAGATGAAGATTCAATTACATAAAAGACAAACACAACAATAATAAAGGAACCAAGCGCTCATTCAGCTAATTTTGATTATATGATTATTTTCGTTCGAGAGCGGTCCAAATTTTCCAGCCTGCGGAAGCCATAACACCCACTGCACCAACTACAGTAGCCGCTGTACCTACTGCACTTACCGCAGCACTTACTGCTCCTACAGCAGCAACTCTACCTACTAAACTTACGGCAACACCCGCTATGCCTACTGCAGTACTCACTGAACCTGCTGCACTTACTGTAGCTTCGATCTTTTCTATGGTAGATAGAGGAGGAGGAGGATCTTGATCCTGCAATAATATGTCCTCCTGCATATACACCAAGGAACATGCCTCTTCAAAAGTGGGGAGTGGAACCCGAGATGATATTATCTTTTGGAGGGGCAAGTATTCAGAAGGTAAACCAGCAAGAAGTTGCACCACCATGTCTGGATCTGAAATAGGACTCCCAATCTCTGCTAGAGAAACTGCTATGGACTTCAATTTATTCACATAGGCGTCCATTGTCTCATCATCCCCCTTGCTCGTACCGTGAAATTGCATTTTGAGTTGACTTCGTTTTATGTGATCTGGAGCTGAAGTATCACCACTTTCCTCCATTCTTCCTTATCAGTGAGCTAACTCTCTAGTGATCTCTCAGCCCTTTGCTATTTCTGATCCTCAAGGAGTAGACTGGACCCTCTAATGTTGAACACTTCAAGATTCCATTTGGCACCGTGGAAAAAAATTATTTTGTAGTCTGGTAATTAAAAATATACTTATAGCTTACAGAACTAGTTAATTATTGAAGTGTATGTATAAATAAAAGTATATGGAGAAAAAGAGGGTTTGAACAATGACATTTCACTATATCCCTTACTTTAAGATTAAGATGTATAGTACGATGAGATAATAAGTTAGTACATTTCATTGCTGGCTAGCACAAATAACTAATTTTATTGGTGGATGAAAAGTAGACTCGAATACTAGGATAAAACTTACAAGTAAGTGACGAAGCCAAGTTTTTGGCCAAATATTATACTATTTTGATCCCTCGGCCTTATCATATTTAATCCCTTAAGTATGCTAAAGTTGAACACCTTTAGTCTTAATAACATAATGTGTTTAAAAACTAACGGTGTTACACAACTCTGATTCATGAAACAAATCTTTATTCTAAATCAAAACGTTTCCTATCCTTTTATAGGATAACACAAATTATCACTTTATTTCCTCATTTTTAGATAATGTCTTCTAAAATTTTAACCTTAAAAATATCCCCTTTTGTGCCAATTTTCAATAAGAAAATGACATTGTATAGCCGCTATAAAGTTAATAGCCGAAAAATGTATAAAATTTGTATATGTTTTGTGTGTATATATATATATATATATATATATATATATATATATTATTTTTGCATAAGAATTGATTCATGAATCACAGTTGGGTAACACCGTTAGTTTTTGAACATATTGTATGAGTAAGACTAAAAATGCTCCACTTTAGCATACTTAAGAGACTAAATATGCTTATGTTTATATTTGAGGGACCAAAATATACCTATTCTAAAAAATAATGGACAATATTGATCAAAACCTCCACGAGACGTATTGTACTAAGTTCCCGATTGATCATAGATTTGGGCTTCATTTTTTTAAGTTCATTTTTTCAAGTTCCCAAAAATTGGATTAGGACAATTTTTGGGTGAAATTTTTTCTTATACTTACAAAATTTCAACTTTTATTCAAATAATGCTTGTCTAACAATAACTTCAACTTTAAAAAATAATTTTTCAACACAACTTCAAAAAATTCTTTTGTCATAGTTTAGTACCACTACACTTACTACCTGGTTATTGGAAGTGGAGAGTTGCTACTCTTGTCTAGTAACTATAACGTTAATAAAATTTAATTAATTATAACTTAGAACAGAAAATGGCAATCCTTTTATCTTTCTAGTAAGTCTTATAAAGCTTCAACACAACTTTTTAGCCAAAGCTGGTGGGGACTACAATTGAACAAATCGATTCCCCATTACCTTTTCTCGTGGATTAGTGCTCTTATAATGATTCCTTTGATTGCTTCAGTGTTAAGAATGATCTTGCCTTTCCTAATATTAGGGATGTCAATAGTTCGATTCAAGCAGTTAATTCAAAATATTTATACCATTTTAATTTCTTAATTAGTTTATTGTGTATAATTGAAGTAACCGTCTGATTATCTTGTTTTTTTTCCGCTTCAATTTGGTTCGATTAATTAACTATACTTTATTATTATAATATCGAAGAAGAATGCTATTGTTTCTAGAAGTAACTCTTTTAAGATCCAACAATAATGGCCGCTATTCGGTTTAGAGGATTTTGATTGAAAAGAAAACCACCACTATTATTATGTTTTTTTTAAAAAAAAACAGCAGCAAATTTGTATAAAACTTCAACTACTACTTGATTACAATGATCTGAAGAAGACTGAAATTAGAAAGCAGTTCAGGCTTGATTACATAAAACTTGAAATCACGAAACCAAATTAAAGATCCAACACTTAAACGTAAAACACAGCAGAACAAATTAAAGGAAACATCTATATCTTTGCACTGAATTACGACCAATTATTTACTTTCGAGCAGAGTTGCGTGAATTGGGGCCTCTCTTATGATAGTTTCCCCTTCCTGGATTAGGT